TTTATGTTTTTAGGCTCTTTTAGGAAACTATAGCTTGCCGAATTAAGCCAAACTAACATGATATTTAAAAATGCTTTAACGTGACAAAAAGACTAGTAATACAAAACAATTGTGCGATTATATAAAAGATAATAATCAGATTAATAGGGATTTGTTTTCCACTCGTATTTCCGGTGCATATGTTAGTTATTAACAATTTATTGCCAAAAATTCAATGCGATGCCATTTTTGTCTTTTTGTTTATAATATTATATAATAATGGAGTAATCGGAATGCCCAACGAGATGATTTGTAGATAATAAAAATGTCTACAAAATGAAGGGTTGAATTAAAACATTAAAACCTGAAGTAGTAAATAAATTTCCATGAATAGTTTACAATGTACACTTTAGTAGTTATTTTTCCAATATTCTTGCCAGAGTCTTTACATACAGTTGCTGTGTAAACAGTAATATAAATTAATACTTGCGACGAATCATGTGCATTATTAATAATTGAGTTTGTTTTCTATCAGTAAAATTCTGTAAGCCCAATCAAAATATTTAAATATCTACAGCTTACTATAGATATAGTCCATTAAAAACCAAATGTATCACTGACGCAACGCAAAATCGGAACATGATGGGATACAAAAACGGAGACGGATCGGACAGGTAGCGGAAAGATGTGAACTACGGCGTTGAAAGTCCAGTACCATTTTGCTCTCAGATTTTCGTCCGATTGTATGATCGGAGTCGGATCGGATAGATGTGACCTGGCCTTTAGTAGTGTACTAATAAGGAAATTTTTTATAGGGATATTGAGTGGAATGGAAACACTGATACCATTGAAAGGGACAAAAATAATAGCACAACTATTTGGGACAAGTACGTACCGAATTCTGCAAAAAACACAGTTTAGTACAGTAGCATGACGGTTCCCAAACTGTGCTAATGTTTCCAAAATTTATCATATTAGCTCACACTACATTTGCTTTTTGCACAAATTTGCTTTAAAACGGGTGTAAAAACGCCGTCATGCTGCTGTACGCTTTCAGCCACCCACTCTTCTCACTAGGTTTTTTCTGTTTCAGTATATGTCACACGATGGCCACTCAAAACTCAGATCTGATCCCACATATAGTGGGCGGGCTCAATAACGACCTCTACGCCATTCCAGTGAAGAAGTTCAGTAAAACGTCCCCGCCCGAAAAGTGCAATGAAATCCTCAGCCCTGACCAGGAATGGGACAGGGACAAAATCATCCTACCACCCGGATGGGAAAAACATGAAGGTACCAACCAGGCAACGTTTAAGCAACAAAATTGTGTGCTAATGTCTTTGTGCGTCGCTAGATAATGATGGCCCCTATTACTGGCACATTAAGAGCGGCACTATTCAGCGGGAAATGCCGCTTCTGGAGTCGGAAAAGGAAAAGTCCGATTGCAAGTCGAGCTTCAAGGAGAGCGATTTCATATCATCCTTCGAGTCCAGCATGACGGTCACCAGAAGCAGCACCAGTTCGGCTCTGGACTTGGATGCTGACGATAGGAAGCGGAAGGAAGAACTAGCTTTAAAGTAAGAAAACATTGAAGTGAACATGTATGATTGTGAACTGAGTTTGCTGCTCGGACAATTTGGTTACAATAAAAAATTTGTTGAATTTTTTCACTAGCTTTTGAAAGTGTGCGCCTTTTGATTTTTCGCAAACCTAGGAATTTAGAGCAATTTTAATTCGAGAAACAGAATTGACTTACATATGCAAGATGCTTGGACACAGTCACATAAACGATTACTCTTTTGATTTGTTTACTAGGAGAAGAAGTTATCCATCGAAACCAGAACAGGACGTTAAAGAACGACCCATTCGTTTCGCTGTTCGTTCCTTGGGATGGGTGGAAATAGCAGAAGACGATCTGACTCCTGAGCGTAGTAGCAAAGCTGTAAATAAGTGTATAGTCGATTTATCCTTAGGCAAGAATGATCTGTTGGATGTAGTTGGTAGATGGGGAGACGTAAGTTGTAGAGCGCTTCCACGATAAGTATCTAAGGTGGGCTTCTTCAATAGGGCAAAGACTTATTTATGGATCTGGACGAGGGCGCTTTGAAGCTTTTCGATCCGGAAAATCTCACCGTGTTGAATACCCAGCCAATTCACACGATTCGAGTGTGGGGCGTCGGTAGAGACAACGGCAGGTGAGCATACTTTATCTCCGCTAATTTGTGTCTCTGCAAACCGTTATTAAATATTTTTTGTTATTCTATGCTGCGTAATCGATAGAGAAAGGTATGTGTTTACTGTATAAATAGATATATTTAGATATATTTTTATACAAGCAGGAAAAGAAGAAAAATGCATAGAACACTTAACTACAAAGTAGTAGTGAGATTAGGACACGTTTTATAGAGATTCCCTATTCCTATTACTAGCTCAGATCTGATCTGATCTCTTTCTCCAAAAATGCAATACAAATCACAAATCTCTAGATTTTGTGCGCGACTTGCGTGGCTTTCGAGATTTTGGCTCAAAAAATGAAAGTGGTTCTTTGTCTGGCTGTGTATATGAAGAAATGGAGGAAAAATCGTAATAATGTGGGCAGATGCCAATAATAAATGAACTACGACAAAAGTCTAGACGATGATTTTAAAATTGAAACTCATGGGTTTTTCGGGTTTTTAGCCCATCGTTCGGTAGATCTTCGTATGGACTGGGAAACATTCAAATGTTTGTTGAATTTAGTCTCACAATTCATTCTGTTCAATTATTCTAAAATAGGAAAGATTGCTGTTATTCAACATAAATAAATGGAAACGTTGTAATATTAGGTGTTTCAAACCTAATTATTAGTAAAATCAATTACACAAATAGAAGGTATAAAATGTGAAATATGGACACCAAAATGTTTAAAAAAATCAACTTCAGGAATTCAAAGTTTTAAAATTTAATTATCTCATTTCCAAACCGTTTAATAACTACGAAGTATATTTTTTACGGTATTTCAGTACAGTACAGGTTTACAGTAGGTCCGTCTGCATTTATAATTAGTATTAGGTTTATTTTCTTGCCTTAATCATACGACAAAAGCACTATGTATAAGCGAAAAGCTAGTGCTGTAGGGTCTCGCAAAGCCAAAATGATTCGGCTTGCAGGACCAAAATTCTCGTTGGACCCAATTTGTGGGGAATAATTGGAAAGTGTTTGAGAGTGACTTAGTGAACCGTGGGTGAAGTTCACAGCAGCTGCAGCATAAGAAAGATCTCGCGATGTTTTCTTTGCCCAAGTAGAACTAGTTGGAACCGTTTATTACATAATAATGTATCTGAATTATTCTGCTGGCCATATGAGCGTACACGGGTAGAGTCGCGAGAGAGAGGGAGTCGTAGAGCCCGAGAGTAAACTTTGAGAAGTTGACAATAAATTTCCCGACAAAGAGAGAAATTCTTTTGAGAAGGGATGAGTACTGAACCCGAGAGAATTTTATGCAAACTCACTTGTAATATTTATGGGAAGTATCACGTGCAAACTCGAACTGGTTATCGCCTGCAAGGAAATTCCGCATTTAGAATATTTCCAGCCTTACGACTCTCTATACAATGTTTAAATAATATTTGAACATGTGCAAACGTTTGAAGTTCGATACCGCAATGCAAATCCTGCAGGGTTTAACGTGCAACTTTCCCGTACGGAGTATTATTCTTTAGACTAACGTTCTTTCGAGCGCGACTGGGACGGGGCGCTCCATTCGCACTCGATAGAGCGTAAGTGTAAAGGCACCTAATAATTGAAATAAGACTCCTTAAGATACGGACACTGAAGTAATTTTTTCTTCAATATTACGAAAAACATGCAATTTTTGTATAACCATAAAACCACATCAAGTCTGGTTTTATTAATACGAATAATATAAACGCGAATTTTGTTTTTTTAGGGATTTTGCTTACGTTGCGAGAGACCGCACTACTCGAAAGCACATGTGCCATGTGTTTCGATGCGATATGCCGGCACGTACAATCGCCAACACTCTCAGGGATATTTGCAAGAAAATCATGATTGAAAGGAGCCTGCAGCAGAATCTGGGCAAAGCCATTGTAGACTCAAATGGGAGGAGCGTCGCGACTCGGCCTTGCAACTTACCAACTGAGCATCGACGACCTGCTAGAAACAGTCAGATTTTTGTTTGTGAGTTGGCGGTTGATCGTACTGTTGGGCTGAACAACTATGGATTTTTTGCTTTGTTTCCCTTCAACAGCTCAGTCGTTTCCCACTCCTATGGAGGAGCCCAAGAAAGTTCTTCGCGCCCAATACCTCGGATGCACACAAGTCAATAATGCAACTGGAATGGAAGTTTTGAATGATGCTATCGAAAGACTGGTAACTGCAGTGACGCCAGATAAGTGGCAGGCTGTTAACATATCCATCGCGCCTTCGATGATTTCCGTTCATCATCCTACCGTATGAACCAGCCTGTTCCTAGGCGCCGATTTTCTTTTTTAATATTCCCAATGTGTTCCAGGATGACCGTTTATTGGCCGAATGTCGAGTAAGGTATCTCTCATTCCTAGGTATAGGAAAAAACATCAAACATTGCGCTTTTGTGATGCACACTGCGCAAGATACGTTCATGGCTCACGTATTTTATTGCGAGCCTTCTTCAGGCGCTCTATGTAAAACAATAGAAGCAGCTTGTAAGGTAAGCGTTTGTTTCAACAGCTTGAAACTGCAAGTGCTAATATGGAGTTGGTTGTTGCAGTTGAGATACCAGAAGTGTCTGGACGCTCATCCGCAAGGCTTGGGCCATTGTAGCAGCAATGTGAACACGCCTGGCAGCAGTATCGGAGCAGCGTTGAAATCAATTGTTGGTTCACTTAGGGGACGAAAAAGCAAAAGTGCTGACTCTTGAGATACGGAATTGCCCACATTACAGGTAGGTTCGGTTTGAATTATTTAATTTAAAACTTGTGCTGAGCAATATTATATTACAGCCGTTAAAGGGAATTAAAGTTTCCGCCCAAAGAAAAGCCAACCCTCTGTAGAGGGTCAGCTACCCCTCACTTTCACCTAGAGGCACCTTCAAGCTCGCTGAAATATTCATATTGGTGATGTGGGAATGGAGTCATTAACCTACTCAATATTGCTAAATTTAACTGGAATCTCATTTACCTGAAATCACTCTCTCATCAAATAGTCGAATATTTTCTCTGAAGGTGATTAACACGTAAAAAACAACTAATATCGCGGCAACAGTAGTTGCCGTTCTATTTTAGCTTCTTTCGTACTAGTTGCACTTGTCACTTGGAAGCTATCTCTAAATGTAAACTAGTTGTAGTGTCGCGTGTCTCTAAAACAATCCCAAGACTAGTCAAATGCAGCTGGTGCTCCAATATGAGCTTTTGCACGTTTCCAGGGTACGATTTGTATTCATTTATAACTCGATTCACTAAGTTAATTTAGAGAAGGGTGTTGAGCAGTTTTCTGCGCAAATATATGCGACAGTCGTCGAGATGTTGCTGCAAACCTGCCAACTTCTTTGCAAGTTGCAAAGTATTCTACGGCTAGCTAAGTAAATACGTGTACATACTGCATACATGTTAAGTTTAAATGATGAGTACCAAGAGGCATTTAATAGCAAATTCTTGTAAAATTCCTCTCTCAGTAATAAATAGGTGTAAGTAGACCGTAGTTTACAACTAAGACAACGTACGTAAAGTATTGAACTTAAGTGGGACTAAATTATACAACAAACTAAATCACTTCGCCATCAATGTGCATTATTAAATCCGTTTTTAAGCAGGCGAGTCTAACAGATATGCAGCGCTTTCTGCCATATAAATATTTTAATTAAAACGCTTAGTTTCAGCATAAGTTTTGCTTGAAGTTGTTAGGCACGCCTACTGTATAAAGAGCTTTTCTAGCCAAATTGCAATGTAGGCATATTGGATAATGTTATTTTTATAAGCTTGTAATGCTTGTATTACCAACAATCAGCAAAACACCCAGTATACTGATCGACACTTATTGTTCAACGTGTACGACTTAGTAATCTTTGCAGTAGACGAAATAAACCTCGGGATTTGTGCAATATATTCGCCAATGTCTAAGATTACATTACACTACAGTCAATGTATCCTACACTATCACAATAAATCAGTAATTTATTTTAATAAAATAGCAATCGTTTCCTTGATAGTAGATGTTCGTCAACCACGCTGCGGTTATATTTAGTTGTACCAAATAAATATAAAAATCGCAAAAATAGCTGACAACTAAACTTAACATTTGTGCTTACAGATTATAAGATAATATGTATAAGATGTGTTATAATGCTTTCCTCGTAAGGTAAGACTAATATTGTTAATAAGATAAGCACCAATAATTCTATGAACGATTTCAAAGATCATTCTCAATGGGTATGTAAATATTGAAATTTCAAAACGCTACTAAGACTGCTTGAAAGTCCTTTATATCTGCTTAGTGAAGGCAACAAATAAAAATAATTTTTTATTATAATTTTTCCTTATTTACCTGTGATTGTCTTTCCCGTTTATGTGTCACTTATGTGTTATACTGGACAAAGGATGAAAAGCAATGAATGCTTGAAAAGTCGGATAAATTCCTTTTTTTCTAAACGGCATTGATTGTTAACACTAATTTGCAGCTATACCTGCAAAAACTTAGCTCTTTGGATAATTCTAATAACTGATTGCCAAATCTATAGTAAATTTTCCGCATCGGCTACTCTATAAGCATTATTAAACTCCTAGAGCAACAATATAAGCAACTATTTAGTGTGATATTTAATCCCTTAAACAAGAAGAAGTTGGTGTGTACATACTGGATGACATTTATTTAATCCCTTAACCGTTCGTTTATTATTTTATATCTATTACCCGTTAACAAGCAGTTTGCTGATCAATCCTGAACCTAGTGATACAGAAAAGCAAACGATTCCAATATTTGTATTGCATTCCTAACACATCTTTAATCCGTTTAATCGTCCTATACAGTAGCCCGATCGATTAGCTCAAGCAATAAAATATTTTTTTAAAGAAATCCGGAGGATTTCTTTAAAACAGCCAATTTCGGTCTTTACTTAAGATTACCAAATGTTGTCTAAATAATAAAAACAACAATCCGAATCCCTTAAGCCCCTTTCACAATTATTTGACACTTATAGGCTTTTCCAAACAGATTAATTAGATAAGGGTGATATGGAAGCTGATTATAACCCACAGGCTTTATTAGTAGGAATTTAGAACGGCATTCAGTAGGCAAACGCTAAGTCGAAGCACCAATCATGTCCTTTAGAATCGACGATATACTTAAGGACAAAAAGTGTTCAAATGAAACAAAAAACGTTTTAGAAGAGAACGCACAAAAACCTTTTCCTGCGATACCGGAACGGGACAGGAACAGAGCTAACTATTCAAAACTCTCTGAAAGTTACTTGGATTATTCAACTCATGGATTATCTTGCATAGGAGCACAATCTCTAGATCTAAGCAGAGACAGTTTTCGGGGTAGTTTTGCGCCATTCCAGCAAGTTAGCGGCTGTTGTTCGAGAGTGGTACCGCCGCATCCAGGTGGTAAGTGTACACATTTAAAAGCATACAGATATTTAAGCTAAACCCGAAAATCTCACTTAAAACAGAGAAGTAATAAGAACCATCTTTGAGAATTAGTCACAGTTTTATATTGTGAATTAATTGTTCATTGAGAAACGTATTGTTTTTAAATTATCATTTCAAGTCAAACAGGTATAGTACAAATAATCCATTGACATATAAAAAATCTTATGAGGATAAAAAAAGAAATGATAAGATAATAACAAAAAAATTATCCCCTTAAACTGCGAACAAACTAATTTACGCAAACATATACTAAGTACTTCCTGCTTAATAACGTTGGACAATTTGTACAAAGCCTAATCTTTTCGTAATATTACCAACATATTTATCAAATGTAGAACTACATTTAGACACTTTTATTGCAATTCAGGGAGCGCTAATACGGCACCTGTATACGGTTTGATGGATGGCTAACACATTAACTGGTTGAGAATAATAACATATACAATATAAGGGATTAATTTCGAGTACTTGGAACAGGAATTAATTGCGTACACTATCGTTAATTAAACATTATTTTTGAAGCTTATAAACAAAAATAATCCCTCGATCTCTAAAGCACACAGTTTAATTTTAATGCCGCGCATGCATTAAGACTATAATGCCGTAATTACGATAATTAACGGCTGATTTTAATGCCGTTCATTTGATCTGAAATTGTTCCATAACATTTTCGGGTGAGTAGCACTAATTAAAAACCTATTAGAGTCGGTTAGAATTACAAGTACTTTTAGATTTTAAAAAATTGCTACTTTGATCTATTTGGATTGTGGCAAACACGCTACACAAGGCTAATCACTTGGAATTTACATTTTAAAAAATTGCATTCCCTAATTATAGATTATACACGGGTGTTTCATACTCAGCTCAAAAATAAGATGAAATATTTTTCACTTGAACGTGAATTTAATTAAAATCATAATTACACATTAACGTAGGGTTTCGTTCATCATTTGGAATTTTTTCAGATAAAATTTATCCGACTTCATACGGATACCCCGAGAACATTTATTCGCAATCAACCTACAACCACGTGCTGCCCCTTAACTTTAACATTTACAATCACTACTCGAAGCGACGGAATCAAGTGCGATTTTCCACTAGTCAAACGAAAGCACTGGAGCACAAATTTTCCTGGCAAAAATACCTCAGTCCAGAAGACCGAAAATTGCTGGCTTATTCGTTAAAGCTCTCTGATAGACAGGTAACTTTCAAACTCTCATTTGCGAATAAAAATGTTTTAGGAGATGCAAAATATAAAAGGAAAATGGTGCACCAAACTACTTAGTCTGCTTGTCTAAAGTCAAATTAATTTTACATTTTATCAGGTGAAAACGTGGTTTCAAAACCGTCGAGCTAAATGGCGACGAAACGTTAGCGGTTCATCAAACAGTGATGTAAAACCGCAAATATCCAGTCCGGTAACTTGAAAAACTAGAGGCTAAAAATGTGAATAACTGCTAAACAATGAGTGTGTACTTTGAAAAGGAAATGTATTTTAACTAAATTAAGCCGTAGGTATTTAAAAATAAAATTATTGAGTGCCCGTTTGTTTTTGTCTCTATTTTACACAATGAATCTGTACCTTCAATAACTTAAGAGTTATCACGGTATTATACTACAAAACAAAATCTTATCTAGAAAATAATTTATACACGCAAAGCCTAGATTATAGTACAAATTGAATTGTTTTGAAATGTTACCCATATAGTGTCAAATATCGATGTTGTTCTGTGAAATATAAAAAAAAATGTTCAGTTTATAGATGATTCACAATTACATAAAACAAATTAAAATTCAGTTCCATTTGAAGAGTGCATTCAAAAAGAACATTAGTGCAATGAGGCATAGGAAGTCAGCAATCAGGTTGCATATTGTCAGATTGATATTCCAGTGGAAATTTTATAACGCATGAAAGTTCAATTTAAAATTAATATGCTTTCGCTGTGTAAGTACTAGATTCAATACTCGTCCCGTCATGCCACAATTTATGTAAGTTGCATATCCAAAGGCATTGTCTATTCCAAATTGATCAAATCCTTCGATACTATGTATCAAAATAAGAACAATCTTAAAACAATTTCTAATGGGGCTGGTTATGCAAAGCAATGCTTTGTTACACGATAAGCCGAAAGAAGTAGAAAAGTTATACCAGATACTTTAAGAATCTCTTGACCATCAATTACAATAAAGATTTACAGCTGCTCCTTTCGTAAGTAAGAGTTAGTGCAAATACTGGTTTGCATTTGCTGAAATAATATTCTGACAAATTGCAATTAAACATTTTCAAACAGCAAATGATTCCCTTTTTAATAACCGCTCGTGTTGCAGTTATTTGAGACACCGATTTCAAAATGCCCTGCACTAAACTTAAAATTACCAAATAAAAATCAAAGAAAATTATCCTAATTAGCCGGTTCTTGACCGTTGGCTTCTTGCGATTTCATTACATCAGGCAGATCTGGAGGAGCGGAATATGGCACCAAATCTAAGGCTTCGAAGCTGCCATTGTCGTCTCTGTGTAAACCCATTGAACATTATCAAGTTCTAATAATACGGCGAAGAGTAAGTGATTCATTTGGACTATCATTGTTTTATAGAGATTTCATAGCTAATTTGCATAAAGTGTCTTGGTTCATCCAGATATGAGGGTACATCTAATACAAATGCGATTTATTTTCTTCTTAAATTTTAGACGGGTGGTAGATCTGAACGAAATTGGTTTTTCGGTCGTTTGCGGATCGCAGATGCATTTTCTCCACGATCAACGCAATATTAATGCGAGCATCTGAAATCTGAGGCTTAAACGACATCGCTAGGCCACATTCAACAAAGGATACGAAGCGGAAATTATATAAATTTGGCTGGGAAATGTTGCAACATCCTCCCTAGAGTCCAGATTTGGCACCTGGTGACTTTAATCTTTTTGCAAAAATCCATGTCTAGGCCGGGAGATTATAGAGAAAAGTAGCATGTTTTTGTAAGTACCTTCCTATCGTAAAATAATGAAACAATTTAAAAAACAAGTCAGTTCTGTTCATATTTGATACACCCTCATAGGTGCCCTGCTACATCAAATTTTACTCTTTCTTTATCTTTTTCTCAAAATTCTCCAATTCGCAACCACAGCACATTTGCGACCGAAAATGTAGCGAATGTTAGTTCTCATTTCTTCAAAAGGCGCGGATAAGTCGAAGAATTCAATTTCAGTTTATTGTTCGTAAAACTTTGCTTATTTTCTGAGTGATATCTCTCCATATATATATATATATATAAATAATCTTTATTTCCTACAGAAAAAGGCTATCGACCCAATCGGTCTTTCTGCCCTATCTCTCCATTTTAATCATGATTGCTTGTTGCTGTTTAATTTCTACTCTGCCTAAGAGATTGTCAGCCTGCATTGGTATCATTGTTTATTCAAAAAAGGTTGGAAAATCGCACAATCGAGATATTGAGACCAAGAAAACATCTCTGTAAGACAATGGACAAGTCCGAATAAATCATTTAACTTCAACATTGTCTATCACCTTCAAGCAATAAAGTGAGGAAATTATATTCAACCATACCTAATTGCCAATCCTATTGTTGCGGGACTTTGAGCTTTGGCCGAAGTAGAATTTAATCCGTATTCTTGTAACATATGAGCATCTTCCATAACAGTATTGTCTTTATTAAATAACTGTTGGTTTTGAGGTGGAATTTTAAGTATCCCTGTGTTAAAAAAATGAATATAGTAAATGGCCCTATCTGAGAAAGATAGGAACTAGATATAATTACATAAACTCGAACTGCAATCAAACTTATAAATTCTACAAATTTATAAAACCTTCTATTCTCTAAAGCCTAAACTGATCTATTTCATATACATAAATGTTTCGTATATTAGTGCAGTAGTCTTGAAATACGAACAAAGAAAGGCTCCTTCTTACTTCTCTTTTTCTCCAAAAAGTAATTGACAAAATGATTATTTAATTTTCTTTTGAAGATCTTTATGGAATTTTTATTTTTTTGTTTAAAATCTATTTGTGTGGCACATGCTGCATCTGCATGCACATCTATTTCTGAAACAGTTGTTTTAAAGCGCTCCGAAACTTTGCTAAATTTCGAGATTTTCACACACTTTAAAAAATTGCTTCATTTAGAGCATAAGATGATAAAGCTCAATATTTAATCAATTGCTTGTGACTAAGTGTCCCTAATATTCCGATAACACTAGCGAATTCCCACCACGTCTAGAAAATAAAGGAGGATTTCTCGCCGAAGAAACCTTTAAGTATGAACAAGACCATGTGTACTTTCTATTAGCCTGTGTTTTAAACTTATCCTGACCATTTTTACCCCTTTCGCAAGCCCTTTGATGGCGCTTTAAATCTCAAGGCATACATTGTAAATCATAAATAGTCCAAAATAGCTGTAGCCTAGCTTACGAATAACGGAAATTTAGGCAAAATGATTAACTAATCAAAACTGTTGTTAAAAGCTAAAACATCAACTAAAGTTATAAGTTTTTCGACAGGTAAATAATTGTAAATCAATGAACGCCGCGATTCAATGAAAGTGCTTCGATTGAAAATGCGTTTGCACCCCAAGTTGGAGCCTCTAACCTCTAACCCTATTAAAAGCCCCCAAATGTGCAACTGATTTACGTTACCTTCAATGATCTTCTTCAGTTCCAGAACTGTTGTTGTATCTTTTGCATCGGTAAATATAGTAAGTTTCTTTCGTCTAATCATCAAAAAAACATCCTAAAAGGGGTATTTTTAAAATAGATTGTGATCAAATGGAAATCTAGGTTAGATGTCACGAAAACAACTATCACTTTTAGGGAAAATATGCCAGAGAACTTACCATTGCGGTTTCGTTGAGTGCAGGTTCTTAAATCAGAATAAAGATGGTTTGGCCGAAAATATCATGAATTAGCTATAGAGCAAAGCAGAATCTTAAAATTTTGTCTCGCGGATTTGGGCTTTGCTCACTTGAACTGAACGAAACAAGACACAACAAAACCTCACTAGTGACTTGATCTGTGCTTTGACCACTTTACGATTGGACGTCGTCTTGTCTCTTTTTACAGTACTTAGAAGACCAGGATGGAAAATGTCGGAAGCAAATGAAAAATGTCTACTGGTACAAAAAACAATATTGTAACCATTAAACGACAATAAGGAGCAAAACAAAATACTGGAAACTCAAAGCAACTTTGTTGTATCCCAGTAATTAGTAATGTAAAGTTGAAAAGTTAAAAATCCGTGTCCATCACCATGAACGTCACGTATACTGTCAACTTGTCACCAAACTGAGTTTTAAAAATTGTTTATTGTTTATCAATTTGTTTATAACAAGGCTCAGATAAATCGGGAAAAATCACTAAGTTCCGGTCAATTTTAAATTGTTACCGTACGTGTGTTGTGGTGGTTCATTGAAAAACTGGCTATTGGTGCTTCGCCCTGTTCTAAAACTTTTTAATGTTTAAACAATTAAAAAGGGGCTATGGCAGACACGGACTGTGCCAGTGAATCTGCGAGTTCCGTTGGTGATGAGGAACGGGTCAGGCGGTTGTTTCAGGCTTGTGATGCCGATGGTGATGGCTATATAGACAGGTAGGTTTGGTGGCCATAATTCACATTTGGTCTTCTGAGTTTCCAGTCCAATATTTCTGAATTACGGTCCTTTTAGCAATGGAGGGCATTAAGAGTAGGTGGAAATTGTTTTAGAAAATATTTTCGTACCTATAGGTACAGTTTCTAGATAGGTACCAAACAGTAAACTTTTTCGGAACTACTTACTTAATAGGTGCCTATTTTTGTCAAAGAGTTTCCGACGTAATTCACGCTGCAAGATTCATTAGCTTTTTAAATCAAATTATCATTATTTTAACTCAAAAGGGTCCTCTTATTTCACCCGTTTGGTATAAACTGTTTTCCAGAGAATCAGTTTTTATCGAACCCTGTTTTTGTTCATCGCCGTTTTCCCGACATTAAAACCTTATTTTCTCAATTTTAACTATGTTCAAATATGTTTAAAAAACGTTAATCATTGTTTGCGACAGTCAAAAAGCCTTGACTCATTTGTTTTCAATCGTTCAGCTCCAACAATAATTTTCATTATGTTATTTATTTGGTCAATCCGGCGATAAAGGAACGGATCGCGTTGCACTGAAAAAAGCTGTTTTTAATTTAGTTTTTGCATTTGTAGGGAATATTTTCATTTAACGATAAACATATTTTCCAAACATTCTGGATCGTTGAAATTTGTAGACTTTTTACCCTTAAATTCCTGAGAAATTAAACTACTAGTCTAGCTTTTTTTGGTAATATCGCCTTGGAAAAACCCTAAATTTATCCACTTAATTTTACTCAATAATGTTCCACACCTTTTAACACTGGCTTAAAGAACATATTTTTCACTAGCCAATAATTCCTTTTTTAGCCAAGATCTCTTAGCCGTCTGCAGAGAATTATCTCTAGAAGATTCTCTGGATGAGCTGATGCAACAATTGGGAGCAGATTCACAAGGCCGTATATCTTATGAGCAGTTCCTAAATAGAAGACTCGCTCTTAGACCCGAAATAGATGCTTTGAAAGTCACTAATAAAGACAATATTAGTGACAACAGTCAGGGTAAGTAAATATAAATTGTGACAATTATTTCCAGATGAAATATCTGAATAAAAAAAGGATCCTTGGCCGCAGTTTTCCCACAGGGAGCCAATTTCAGTGAAAAATTGATTTATTTAACCAATAACCAAGTTCAGGCCTAATAGAGTGTTGTTTCAGGTAAATTAGATAGCTGGGAATGGGATTCAGGAGCCAGAGACATGAGTCCTGTACCAAAACTGCTGGTGAGAAAGTTTAACAGTGATCGTTTGATGGATGAAGAATTTAAGGTGAATAACAGAAGAGCACACTTAATAATTAATATCATAATCTAGCATCTGCCTTGAAATAATCCACCATACATTCAAAAAGCCTACGTCTAAAATTCGGCTGCTAACATTCCAAAATGGAACCTTTAAATATGAACAGTTGCTTTCATATGAATCGCACTCCTTACTACGTTTGTCTACCCACATAATTGAAAATAATCCCAGGTTTTGATAGCGAATGAATTTACGATTGAAACATCTTTCGATGTGCTTTAAATGTTCTACGGATCTTGGATTTGCCAGCGTCAGTGGCACTAAACTTAAATTGTTGGCTGATTCGATGTACTTCGACCTAAAACTGAACAGAATTAAATGTTTTTGTGTTTTTATCCATACATGCTTTAATATGAACCTTTTTAGATCAGGATTTAGATGCAGGCATAGCCCTAAAAAAGCAGACCCGGTGAAAAACACAGTTGATTTTAAAGGTTTTTGCTTAATTTCCTGTTTCACATTAAGTGCGACGTCTTGGTAGTCTTTGGCCACAACTTTCCAATATTTCACCCATTTTTCTAGAATCGTCCCTTTAATTTTTTCGTTAAACTTTTCACTGGTGGTTTTCCAGTTTTCCAACGCACGCGTGGTGAAAAATCTGGACTGGGGTTCATTTATTTTCATCATTTTCGACTGATTTACAATATTTTTCAAATACATTTCGTAACTTTAATGATCACATTTGACATAACCTATCAAATCGTATATGGCAGTGAAACGGTGCTGGATGTTTCGGATTTTTAACAGCGTACTATGACGTCAATGAATACCTTGGAACAAATTTGGATAATTTTCCGCCATACAAATGCTGCAAGAATGAAGATCAATACATGTTGCTAAATTCCGATTTTGAGAGAAAAAGCTCCTTAACTTTATTGAAAAAACAGGTCTTAACCCATACTATCTAAAATTAAGCCAAATATCTAAGAAAAAGTAAGTTTTTGAACCGCATTGACGACGTGCCGTCCTTGGTTGCGTTTTTAATTGAAATAATTTCAATGAGTGAAAACTGATCGAAAACCGCATTTTGACAAGAAACACCAATAAGAAAAGTTGTAAGTAAAACGATTATCTATAAGGTTAGTATGTTGCTAACTCCGAACGAGAGGGCCTGATAAAAATATTTCAGGTGAGAATTATAATTCGAAAACTTAAAATATGCATATAAATTGTTGAAAGTAATAAGTAATCACTTTGTTTCTAAAATAGTCGCTGCATTACACAATAAAAATAATTTCAATTTAAATTAAACATTTTTAGTTTGGATCACCCTGTGTATATGTTTTTCGTTTAAGTTTTCTGGCCGGTAAATATAATTAGAGTTTTAAAAGGTTTTTTCATAAAGTTTTGAAGTCATCTGTTAATATTCAAGACTTATCAAAGCAACTTTAATTTATTTATGCATGGAGTTGGGTCGTGCCTGATTAATAAATTAATTAGAGAGTGTGGTAAAAGTACAAAAATGCGTAATTGGAATGATGAATCTTTTATCATTGAAGAGGTAATGGTTAATTCACACTAAAAACACATTTAAACAAACAAAAGTTGGTTTTTGACGCGAAAATATTTCAATTTCTTTTACTTAAAGAGGGATGAAGCTTCTCGTCTGCCCTCGTCCACGTTAAAGATATGCGAAACTGTGCATACAAATTGCAATGACGGCCAGATATGTAAATTCTTTTCAGGAGCTGAACCATAATATACATTCTCGAGATGAGAATAGATCAAATAAAACTTTGAAACGATCCACCCGGCCATTCGGCTTTATTTATATTTCATTTTGGACGAGCCAGCTTGTAAAATATATGAGACTAAGAATGGAAAGCTGTGCAGACAGACGCTGTTCTTCTGCTAGATCGATCGTGTAAACATTGAATTTAAATTAAAAAAAAAACAACTAATACGTTTATGAACAGTTGTATATTTACACAATAATTTGGCATGTTGCACCGAGAAATAAAAAAAAAGAAAGTGAAGAGAAACTGCTACAAAGAGACTAAATAAGATCAACTAAGATCATATTGCAAATATCGATTTTTCGTGAAACTATATGTGAAAATGTGTTTCAGCCCTTAATGAATATAAATGGAACGGCAGAGTGAGGTCGTTCTTATTACTGAAAGTTCACGAGTCAATTTAAAGTTTTCCGGGTTCGTGTCTCAAACTTTCATGATTTATTGACAACAATAATACCACTGGTTATAGGTTTGCAACAAAATAAATGAATAATGCTTTCGATCCGAAATGGGTATTTTTTCGTGAAATAATAAAATAGGAAAAATGCAGCCAGTTTGCGCCGAGGTAATCCTGGGAAAATCCTTTCATCCAATTACGTCTATGTGGTTGGCGAGACGTTGCCTTACCTTTAGGGTAAATAAGGGATATGTTTATGTACTACCCTAATAACTTTATGACTTGTTCGCGCTCTTAACAAACTTAATATCTAGTTAGGAGCCCGACACTGAACACCACTTCATACGAAAATCTAATTAAAGTTCCAGACAAGGGTTTCCCTGGTATTTCACTGGATTATTTCTGGCTTCAAAACGGTTCTTTGAGACATAATTGCAGTAAAATTAGCGAGATATTTAGTAAATGAAATACACACTTTACTTTCTATCTGCAAGTTACTTTGAGCATTTGATTCTATTCGGTATTTAAATATATGACTGCATTCTGAAGGGAAAGCATCTAAATGTGAATGTAGCCAATACCATAAAAATCGTTCGTCGAATAAATTTTTATTGTTGTCGGCAAGGTACTTTATGCTCGTTATTCACGTTGCTAAAAAGGAAGTGTGCTTTCTGCTATCTGCTTTTGGCCATACTTTTTCTTTCGGTTTTTTAAAATCGACCCAATCAGCTCTATTGCATGGAGATTTTGCTCAATCAAATTAGTTTCTTAGTTTCCAGCAGAAAAACTACTAACAAAAAGTTTTTAATATATTTGAAAACAATAGTTAACACACTATAAAAACTTTTCTTTAGCGCCAATATATTTTTTTAAATCGGATTCCTTGTAAAATGGAATGAACAGTTGTAATAAAATGAGTTAAATAGTTAGAGCGTCAAATCGAATATACAGTATAGTATGTACAGTAAAATATATTTCTACTGGATTGTTTTCAATTTATGATCCGCGTTTTAGTTTCAGTAAAAAGATTTGCTGCTGGTATTTGAAAAAGTTTCATAAATGGTTTTTTTGGTTATTCATTCACTCCTCGGAAACAAGCAGGTTTATAATTCGAAACGCCTTTGATCTTCAAGTTTTTCCTGCTTTTTCCAAATTTTCTTGTTTTTTTATCCGATTTCTTATTGCAACCATTTGGCCTGCATTTTTGTGCCTGTCGACAAAAATGACCAGAGCTTATTAAGTTTGGGGCATTTTGAGCGATTTGCGTTTTTCTTCCGATTTTTTATAAATTGTCTCGAATTAAAAACAATTATTTATTACGCTATTGGGACGGTCAGAAATCAGTGTTTATATGTTAACAAAGTTTCGATTTTCAGTCATCTGCAGGCACTTTTTGATCATTTATGGCGTGTATTTCCGCAGGAAGTGAGGGAGTAAATTTTTTATCATATTTCTAGGGCAAAGGCATTTCTATAAACGAATATTTTGGATTTTGAATCATCCGTAAATTTTTGGAAATTTTTCCAAATTTTTGTTGTATTTTGCGCTTGTTTATGCAGGTCGGAGTTTGAGAGTTATTTGTTCAGAAACGGGAGAAGAGTTTGTTTTTTTGGCATTTGACATTTTTTTCTCAGAAACCATTCACTGGTTTTAGATGGATATTTCTTGTGTATCTACATGTTGCAAAGTGCATTCTACATGTGGAAAAAGTTTAGATTTTGAGTCAACATCAAGTTATTTTTGCGATTTTTTTAAGTTTGCAGTAAAATTTTCTAGTTGGTTATACAAGGCTAAATTTTCCATTCATTTTCTCAATATCTCTAAAATTTCGAGACTCACCACAAGTTATAAAGTAATAACTTTTTTCCGCTTTATGTGTAACTATTCAGAAAAATGAGCTAAAAATCTTAAACAAAAATCAATTAGTATCATTGTTTCATATGGATATTTCGGTCCGTTTTCGAAAGAAATGGATTCAACGAACACTAAGTTTTTATGATACGCTAGGTCTGGGTAACACTGTGTTGAGTTGCGCTATTGAGTTGTTGTCGCTCTTCGAGTTAACGAGTTATAACTGATCGGTTCATGAGTTATACGTGATTTATTAAAGCTTTACGTGACCCAAAAGTGGAATCTAAAAAAAGGCCATCAACATTTTTCCCAAGTAACGTTTTACTACTTTGTTCAAACAACTAAACAAAGTCATCCAGATTTTCCCAGCAACAGAACTGAGTCCAAAGAAAGTCGACGAGTTGATTTGTAAAATCGATCTTTGAATTTTTTTGTATAAAAGATTCAGTTTGCCAGTATTTTACAGTAAAACGTTAGGAAAAATGCGGTTTTTCTGTTTAGAGACAGTGTTGTTTAGAAATATTGACCTAAAAGTGAAGAAACTCGAGTTTCCAAAGGTTTCCCAAATAAATGATTTTTTTTTTGGTTTTTTGGGGCGAATTTTCTAGTACAATGAATTTTGTCATTTTTGGCTGAAAAGACTCCATTATTGTCAGAAAAGAAGAAAATCATCAGAAAGTAATGGTTTTTTGCGTTAATTAAACCTTAATGATTTTCGGGGAAAAACGGGACGAATTTATTTTCGCTTTTGTCCCGAATTCGACGCTGAAAAAAATTTTTACAAGGCTAGATCTTGTGATTTTTCGAGTAAAAGACCTCCAGATCGTCCGTATTTTTAAGTGAATCTCTACAAAATAGAGCGTTTTTGGGTAGAAAGTAAAGCAAAAAAAAAATTTTGTTAAATCTAAAAAACCACATTTTTTGAAAGAAATTCTACAGTCTTCAGAAGAAGCGAGATGACGAGATTTCCAAATAATCTGTTACTGAACTTTCGCTAATTCTGTTCATCTTTTGATAGAAAATTATTAGATTTTTTTTCCAAATTCGAAGCTGAAAAGGGATTTTAAAACTTGTTACAAAGCGACGAAGGATTCAAAATTTTTCGCGGAAAATACCTTAAGATTGTCAGCATTTTTAAGTGAAACTTTAAAAAATTGAGCATTTAGAAGAAAAATTAACTTGGCTAAAACAGTAAAATTCTGAAATTTTGAAAAAATTCAAAAAATATTATTAATAAATGACCCTTAATATAAATCAAAAACCAAGTAAAAAAGTCATCAACATTCTTCCAGCAACGGAACTGAGTTACTGCGCCGGTGCGTTGTGTTGGCGCACCAATCCGTTTGCGTCGCACTGCACCAAGCGCCAACTCCGAAAAATTCACTGAGTTACCCAGGCCTATGATACGCTATTCAGAAACAAAATGCCTGTCATATCTTTTCCTTCACTATTTATCTGTTTTATTATCAAGAAATGAGAGACATGGTATATATTTTTGCGCAAGAAAATTTCAATAGCCTTGCCTCAGCTCGAATCTATTATGTTTTGTCTTCCAAGAAACCGGTTCTTTCCTTCCGAAATGTTATAACAACATCTTAAACAGACTTTCTGTTGGGCAGGAAGAAGAAGTTATATTGCGAGTCACTGAAAATTAATTCATAAGTCTTTTAAGTTCGGCAATAGGCGTAACTCAGCGTATGGTTTGGAGAGCTCTAAAAAAAACTATATTCATTGCGTTTTACTCTTAATAACCGGAAAATCCTTCTGTTCGTCTGTGTTTTGCCAATTTTCTACAGGACCAACAAACCACCGATGGTCCTTTTTAAGTATTTTTTTCCATGAGTCGACGTTTGCTCGCCCTGGTGTTGAAATTGTTGATTTGGTCGTGTAAGCGTTATTGCTTGCCCAGCCCCAAGCCCCGACTTTAATCTTCTGGATTTTTCAAGCTGGTTCCAAATGATACATTGAGTTTACCAAGATTCTATTGGTTCGCGTGAAGAGTTGTGGCAAAGAATACAAGTAGCTGCCAATGAAATCAGAGTCAATCTCAATATGTGGTTCCAAACTCGAAGATCTCTCACAAAACGCTGTGTCAAAAGTGGTCACTTTGAACAATTACGAATTTTACATGTCTTATATGGATAGAAGCGAATGTTGCTCCCAAAGAAATCGGGATTTATGGATGACCATCTTCGTCTTGGTCAGCGCCTATTAGCGATTGGTTCTAGCGAGGAATGAAACACCAGCTTTTCGCCACTTTTAGTGTGTTTGGATGGAAAATGGTTTTTCCACGTCGTCGAATGGAAATTGTTACGTAATGCGCGGCGCTCCCCAAAACAACGTCGCGTTCTCTGCGACGACCGAGAGAGCTTTTGCAGCTTTCGTCGTCGCTTTTGCGTTTCTGTTTCTTGCCATCGCCTGCTGCATTCCTGCTGCTGTCTGTCGCAGTCCGACGTTTCGAGCTAGTGCGAGGTAGTGAACGCGTGCCGGTCATATTGGACAAAATATAGGTCGCGTTTGATGACTCTTGATTCGGCATTTGATTAGTGGTGTCATGAGTCAATGATCTCTTCTCGTTCAATGTTGACGAGACGATCGGGTCAAACGTCCCTCTGTTTTTGTTAACAACAGTGTTTGATTGGTTGGGGGGCGATGTCAATTGTATTTGTGATTTAATTTCGCATGTTTTTCCAGAGGTGTCCATAGGTATGGCATAGTTTAGAAACCTGAAATAATTGGACTTTCAAAAGGATCTTGATTTTTTTTTCTGGCAATTTCTCATTATTGTATTTCTACACTCTCCAGCAGAAATTTGAAAAGTCTTTGCACCAGAAGGCGCCATTCGGACAAGACGCAAAAGGAAAAGTCGGTTTAATGAATGGAAATGGCCAGTTGCTAAACGGCCCATTCTCTCCTAAAATAATCACTTGCCTTTGAAGTGTGAATTGCAACGATGCTCGCAATAGTTTCTACTTTCAACAAATAACACGCCCATTTTTTCGATTCTCATTAGTAGCGACGGTTTTTTTCATGTAACACTTCAAGATGAAGAGAAATATTCAATTATGGCTAATCTACTGTGGTCAAAAATAGTGCGTAGCGGTTAGAATATTGACGCTGATTCCTATCTTGTTAAGGATTTATTGGCCTTCAAAGTAAGAAGTTCAATAAAACTTTTTATTTAAAAAAACGTTTAAATTTCAGTGGGTTTAAGCAACTCCCCTTGTAGTCCAGTCGGATTAGATTTCGTCCAGGCACTAAATGGTTGAATGTAAAAGAATATTGGAAGTTGTTCGGAAGAATGTCAGGATATTGATTTCCGGCTGTGGGACATTGTTTAAATAATCAAAGTGCCAAAAACCGATTTTGCGCAACAACTTTTGAACCGTTGATGGTATTGAAATAAGTTTAATAAATGTCTTAAGTATTAAAAATGCCTACAATATAAGACACAGTAAATTAAAATCCGTTCATTTGTTTACTCAAAAAACAAAAAAACGCCGATTTTTGGGGTTTTTAAAATTTTCTTTAATTAATTTAGTTTTGCTTCTAAAAAATCGTACTGTATTTTTTTTTGAAGGTCTTTGTACACTTCATAAGCGGTATACATTTCAGATTAAGATATTCATACCTTTTTTTTCATTCCTACCTATTTGCTATGTAAAAATAGCTTTTGCTATATTCGAAATACGTTTTTTTTGAGACGTCGGAGAGTCTATTTTACTCGCGTAAGGAGTACTACAACGTACAATAGAGAAAAAGTTGATTACTGAAGAGAAAATCCTTTAAACAATAAGTTGAAAATCAGGAATTTTTAATGTTAAAAGTTACAGGGTAAATTAGTTTCAGATAATATTTCCACATCGATTACTTAATCATATCAATCATAGCAATTAAGAAGTCGATGTGGAAGTTTTATCTAAAAATTATTTACACTTTAACTTTTAACATTAAAAATTCCTGATTCAACTTATTGTTTAAGGGATTTTCTCTTCAGTAATCAACTTATCCGTTATTGTCTCCGACGTCTAAAAAAAGTTCGGGAATCGGGCTTTCCTTGAAATCGGGAGAAGAATCGGGAAAGATCCTTTGTTGAGAAGTGTTGTACAAAGATCTTCAAAAAAGTTATAGTACGATTTATTGAAAGAAAAAGTAAAATAGGTATAGAAAATTAAAAAAAAAACATTAAAATCGGCGGCTTGAGTAACGAGGCGGACTAAAATTTAGTTAATATTGTATTTTAATACTTTAAAAAACTATTAAGTAAACTTTTTTTCGATAGCGTCAATGGTTCAAAAGTTATGACCAAGAAAACGGGTTTTTGCACTTTTATTGATTATTTAAACAATGTTCCAGAGTCGGACATTGCGCGCAAACTATTGTTTCATATATTCTGACATCCGTCCGAACAACTTCCAACAATAATCTTTTTTAACTTCATCCATTTAGCTCCAGAAACAGGCCTTTTTGTTCCGAAAAAGTCGAATCTGACTGGACTATTGATGTTCATATCGCGGTATTTAAAATTAATACGCGGTTTTATAAAGGTGCGGTTGGAATTAAGTTTCCTAATTTTTTCTACAATAACAATGCAAATGTCAGTGTAGTGAACACGTGAAAATTCATCATTAGTTTCTGTACCAAATGGAAAAGTTGTCACTATTACAAGCGTGTTGTAATAAGATAGAAATATAAATATTCGTTATTGATATGCTGAAAAAAATTAAGTAGTAGGATATAATTACACATTTGAACGTAGTTTTTAGCTCTGATCAACTTTTTTTATTAAGAATTATCGATATTCTTAAAAATAAATGTGCTTTACTCTTGTGCAAAATTCCTATTTTTCGATCATCCGCGTACACGACTGACAAACTATTCCTAATTTGATGATTATATTTTGGGTTCTAGAACATGCAGGACTTTTTTTCGTAAAATTAACAATAAAAAAGTTGCCCATATGCTACCAACTTAAGGAGACTCAAGGTATATTTTTAACATTATACTGATGCGTTAGAAGTCCCACTTTTGTCCAAAAAAGCATTCCCGAAACTGAACACTTTTCATAAGTAGAAATTGTAAATTTCTTAAGAGAAAATTAGCATTATTACAAAGAAACGAGTTTATATTGAAGCCAAATCTACATTAGAGAAATGTAAATCAATTCTGAACAGTTCACACCCATTAACACTATACAATGAAATGACCAGGAAATTGGTTGAAACAATATAATCTCCATATTAAAATTGATTACAAAATGTGGCTTTTAATAACGAAAAAGACGCATGTCTAGAGAACCGTTTGAGGCTTAATAGACTGTTGCAAAATGCTGCGTTCCAAATTCTCAACACTGTTGCTGTTATGTTTTGGAAATAATTAGCAAGCTTTTCAGCTTCCACTTCTCATAATAACATTCTTAATCATCTTAGGTGCATACAGGGTGAATCAGATTTGATTAACAATGCGAAATTTTGCTATGAACAAGCCTTCAATTTTTCGACTTACTATAAGGTTTAACGTCGATTTGGGTTTCCCATTTTAGTTGATCATGGTATCAGAACGGAAATGTCTTACTGGGTTCTTCATGAATGGAACAACAGTGGCAAAAAACAATTGATTTTTCGAAGTAAAGATCCCAATGAATAATTATAATTGAATAATCTTCGTTTTTTTATTGCTGATGAAATTCTATCATTCCAGTCCAGTGGGAAGTTTCTGGAAAGGAATGAAACCGGGAAAAGTTTCGTGAGAATTAAAATACATTTTATATAGTTTACGTTCACGATTGTGTAGAAACACTTACCGTTTAACTGGCAAACTGCTGAAGATTGATGTGGAAGATTTAGTCCGTTCACCTCGAATAAGTTTCCGTGAGTTAAATTTATCCAGGGAAAACAGCCATAAGACAAAGTGGCTTTTTACCAAAAAATCTACTAGGGAATCTCAAAATTTGTTTATGTAGATATATAAATCGGGTTGTATTGCATGAGGAATGCATAGGAAAGTGAATCTACTTTAGATCTTAATTCGTGAATGTTACCTTAAAAAGTCTTTTTTAAGTCAGCTTTTAATTATTTGAGTTTTCGAGTTTTTATTTTGCGATGCGCAATATAATTATAGACTTTTCTCGATTCTCGGACTGCCAACGCTAATAAACGCAGTATAAACATTCGTTAAAGTGAGTAAATAACCGGATCGAATGTGAGTTGAGTTTAGTGAGTATTTAACTGCAATAAATTTAGGTAGATCTTGGTAGAATGCGATGAGCTTCGTTTTAATGTCCCCTAATTACAATGTTAGGTGGAAAGCCCACGTCAACACTGGGCCTTAACTTTCGTGCAATAAAACATGTGGGAAGCGAAATCCAACCCCGCCCTGAACTTTATCACAAAAGGGCAGGGTTTTAACTAAATTTATCGGAACAGGATGAGAGTTTAACGATTCCGCAAGATTTTTACTTGCGGCTAGTTTCGAACTTGTTTGACTTCGGTTTCTAGCTGAAAACTTCCATTTGTTTAAGGATTTATTCTGTTAACAATAAAACTTTGTTTTTTGTGGCGAAATTCCCGTTCTTAAACTGCGTTCAATTAAGCAGACTTTAGTTTTATTTCATGTTCAGCTTAAGGTAAATGCGAAAAGAGCTAATAACGTTAATGGACTCTGGAACCCCCGGTTTAGGGAAATTGATATCTGTTTTACAACTGGAGGGTGAACGACATGGTCGATCGAAATTATAAAATCGGTTTTTCATAAACAGGGCGAAGAGTTTATATCCAATCGAGTTTTGCACTTGCAAACCAAAACAACGGGTCATTTTCGGCAATCATACATGCTATTAGAGCTTTAGATTACTGCAAATTCTTGCGTAGCAAACCGAAATACCGGAACCGAGCTTCAGCCACGAAATCGCACGATCCTCGCTCAGAAATATTTACTGCCATAATTAATTGTGGTAATTGGGCTTTAATATGCCAGTTAGAGATGTAGTGGCATGGATCAGAACTTCTAAATGACTGGCATTAAAGGTACCGTTAGGGCCAAGAATCAACGTCTTAAACCGAAATAATCACGTCTTTAATTCCGCAAAAAACATGTACAAAAAATCGAGTTAATAATTCAATTGGATGTAAAGAAAAAATATGGATATTAAGTAATTTTTAATGTGAAACCCACATGCGCCAAACTCAAAGAACAAAGACTGTGTATTAACATACTGGTAGTTTTTACGAGTTAGTTTTTATTAGCACACAAAGGTATCTAAAAATTCTCAACAATGTCGTGAATCAATGAATTTGATTTAACCGTTTTGTTCAATGACCTCCTTGAAAATAGCTTGTTTCCGAACGCCTAAACATTCCATGTCGTAAATATTTACAATTAATTAGCGACAATCCTGCTTGGTGTCCATATATAATTAAACTTTCCTGCTCAGGTACACATAAAACTGTCGAAAATGGCAGGATTCTAATGAATGAAGTCGACGCTGATTTTATATGAAAAAAGTCAGTTAAATTTTATGCAGATGTTTCCATTAAGTATCCGTAGAATCAACATAGAACGTGAATTCTATTTTTAAAATCCAGTCTCAAATCTACAGGCCATAAACAACGGGGATTTGAAATTTATTTATATGAGTGTTAAATTTTAGGATTTTCAATTTTTTAAAGCTTTTCCTTATGCACTTGAACCACTACTAAAGAAGTTTAGGAAAAAACTTGTGAATTTTCCTTGAATTTTTGCCATTTGCACACTTTCATATGCGTCTTATGCGATTTTTGTCTACTTTAAAAACAATTTTTTGGTTCACTTTTATTTTCGTTTACTTTCCATGTTTGAAATATGACAGATTTGGTTGGTGAAATATTTGATTTTCTCATCAGTCTACGGTTTTTAGCCTTTGGTGTTCTTAGGCTGCAATTTATTGCTTTCTTGGCGTCTTTTTTTGGTAATTTTTCGTTTGTTTCTCTTGGAGCAAAGTCGATAACGTTTACATAACATTCAAAAACAAATTCAGTCACATCACGTAAACGGTTGTTTCAGAAATGTTTTTGAATTTCACTGCTTTATAAAAAACGCCCTAAATTTAAACCGTTCAGAAACATTCCAGATGAAGCTTAAAAACATTCAATTTTTATAAAAGAAATGTCGAAAATCTCCAATAAAAATATCGGCAATTATAAATCTAACCATTCTTGAGAACTAAATTTCGTAAGTATTTTGCTATGTGGGAAAAGTATAGCACTGCTTTAAAAATGTCCAAAAAATTCTTGATTTTGATAAAAAACAGAAGTTTTTAGAATTTTGTTAAAATAAATAGCTGTAGCTTTTAATGGAAATATCAGCAATTGTTAATTTATAACCATTTTTGACAAATTAATTTCCCAATCAGGTATATTTCACTTTATATGGAAAAGTTTAGCACCACTTTAAAACTCTGCAGAAAATTGTTTGATGTATGCAAAAATAGAAAACTTTCGAGTGTTACAAAGGAAATTTCGGCAGTTTTCAATGAAAATATCGGCAATTATCAATCTCGAACTGTTTTTGAAAAATTATTTTTTTAGGTAAGTAGGTATCTCGAACTATATTGAAGAGTATTGACTACTTTGAAGTTTTCCGGGAAAATTCTTGTTGGCAACAGAAAACTTGCGAGTTTTACGAAAGAAACATCAGTAGTTGTGAATAGAAATATCGGCAATTATAAATCTCTGACCGTTTTTTTAAATAAATATTTCGCACTGTATTGAAAAATATCGACTACTTTGATACTTTCCGAAAAAATTCTTGATGTTGGCAACAACAGAAAAATTGCGAGTTTTACGAAAGAAACATTAGTAGTTTTCAATGAAAATATCTCTAACTGTTTTTCAAATAAATTTCTTAAATAAATATTTCGAGCTGTATTGAAAAATATCGACTAGTTTGAAACTTTCCAGAAAAATTGCCGATGTAGAAAGAAAACTTTCGCGTTTTATGAAAGCAATATCGGCAGTTTTAAATGGAAATATCGCTAAATGTCCCAAGTTAAGATTCACTCTGTATTAAACGTATTTCACTACTTTCAAACTTACCAGAAAAATTCTTGATTTAAGCCACAACGGAAAACTTTCCAGCAAAGAAATATTCGTTCGTTTCAAAGGAAATATCGGCAATTGTTGACTATTCAAGAGTTTTTGAAAAAGTACATTTCAAAGCAAGGCTGTCACGTTGGCGCTGTAATCAAATTTGCAGTTTTTTTGTTGAAGAAACTTTCGGATCGCAAACATTCCACGTTCCGAATAAATATCGGTAACTGTCCGTCATCTTCCGTTATTGATAATTTTATGGGTTTTAAATCATAAAATCTCATTTTTCAGCAGCATCTTCAATCCAAGAGAACTGCTGATTCAAACATACAAACCCATTATTTTACTGCCACTTTCGCATTCGTAGACGTTTTAATCGCATCTAAAACTGCCATTCTAACTCTATAATTAGCCCTACGTATTGTACTAAAATTTATTAAAATAAATTAATGGATCGAATGCCCATATCTACAATGGAAACAGTTAAAACACATTGCACGTAAATTTTAATGAGCTGCCAGATTGGATTTGGGCTGTTTTTGGCACTCGGCACAGTACTTTCAAATTGAGTTAATTTACGTGACTGTCGTGCAATGGCCTCGAAGATTGCTTGATGTTTTTGTATGTCAAATGACTATTTGCTATTGTTTTGAAGTTAGCCTTCCTCATTGCCATTGTTTTACTTTGATTTATTGTTTGTTAGTGTCCGTTGTGTGCGATTTTACGCGTCGTTTACTCAATACAGCACGATTTAATTACCCAAAACTTCAAGTTTGGAAGACGTTTATTATTTGTGAAACTAGTTCTAGAGTTTAACTGAAGTGAACTACTTAAGTAAGTTTGTCTTTCCTCACTTTACGTATTCCTAGCTGAACACCAAGGGGTCCATCGGAGCAACTAACACAGGAAAATATGAACTGAACTGCTCTTTTGTTTCCAATTTAAAGCAGACTATTAGAACGTTTTATGCCATATCGATTGAAACAAATTGAGGTCGATGAAACCAATGATGCTTACCCATTTAGATTAGCTTCCATTATACATTAAAAATAGACGAGCCGGCTGAATTGCGTTTAGTGTTGTCTTCTCTTACTTAATACCGAACGCAAATATAAACGTAAATAAGGCAAATATAACTTAATTAAATAATGCTAATTTATAATGAGAAATAAACTTTTGGTACTACTAACACCCCTTAAGTCTGCTGGTATCATTAACTAGGATGAGAAATTGAGGTAGAAGCACTCGTTGTTAACGGCAAATTTCAATCCGAAAATGTGAAGTGACGATGTGACCACACAAATCGGGTGCTTGGAAGTGATTTAGTGTTTAAGTGACTGTTACAACTTGTGCAAACTGGCGGGGGCCGAAGTCGCCCCCGAAAATGGAGCCAATGGGGGCGGCGGAGATAAGAGCTGTTTGACCACTTATATCTTCAATCCGGTGGAAACGTGTACAGGATCGCCCAGTCCGGAGAAGTTTATAACAAGAGCAACTCCTCCAGGTGAGTTGAAACTTTGTTTCATGTGGTTTTAGAATTTGTGTGATTGATTCTATTTGATAAATGCACGCTATCGAATAAATTCGCAAATTAAATTAAATAATTTTGTTGCTCTTTGGCCATTCAAACTCGTTTTCTAGACTTTCAGGCCGTCGTGAAACTTTTGTCTTTTGTTCAGAGCTGGTTTGCTTGTGTTTCTTTCGTCTTGGAGCACCGTTTGATGATTTCTGCTGGGTTTTCTCTCTGCTCCGCAAGAAACAGTGGGTTGGAAATAATAATCATCAGCAGTCTTTAGCAAATAGTCCATATTGGTCCTCACCACTTTTTATTGAGAGCTTTGAAGAATTTTGCTGTAAGCTTTTTGTTTCTCAAATTTTAAACAGCTTAATTTGTCACGTTCAGTTTTTTCATTCACGATTTTCATAGAAGGCTTAATTTAAAAATCAAAGCACATTCTTTTCCTGTTGGTTTTTTTTCAATTTTTGCATCTAAATGTCCCTATACCTATTCAATGTTCCATATGTTCTTTTATTGATGAGACAATTTTAGCAGTGTTTAGCAGCCATTATTTTTTAGAGCTGATTTTATCTTTTGCGGTAGTTCCCGTCTACCATTCCAATTCAACTGTTTTTTGCACTCTTTGTTACTATTTTCGCTTATTTAACCAACATCTTTGATGACCCAGATTCTGATTCAAAGTGTTAATTGTTTTCCCACGAAAATAGTTTTTTGTGTGACTGATCAATGCCGGTAGTAAAAAATGGAAATGAGCCTGCTAATCGTTAAAAACCTGCTAGTCACTGTATTTTTCGCCAAATGGCATTTGAACGGATTACACAACCTTTTCAATCCCACTGCGATTAAATCCGGCATGAAAGACGTAAATAATTATTGGAAAAGTGCTGTAAATTATTGATGGATGCGAAAGACAAAATTAATGAATCCACTCAGAAAATTGAGTTTGGTGATTTATTTCCATTCAATAGATTTCTTTAAGTCGCTATTTAAGAACAGTAATCGAATATTCTGGTTATTTTAGGAAGTCTGAATCTATCAGGAAACACGCAACAAGATGTTATCAGAAGACTGTCGCCATCTCCCAGTGACACACACATGCATCCCAATTTCCTTTACGGAAAAATACTGGCCGATGGAAGACCGAATTTCCTGACGGATTACGGGTTTAATTTTCAAAACTACGGCGCTTTGGGAACGAATCACAGTAAATGTTGTGCCACTGGATCGTTTGCAAACGAATTGAATTTCGGACATCTCTATACGATCAGCAAAACCGAAAAGGTATGCTGATGAACACAAACATTTTTTTTATATGAAAATGTGGATATTTCTGGAAAAATGTCTCATTGATACTCGTTTTACTTGAAGGAAGAACGGACTTATGACGAACCGTATACGGGCGATCTGCCCAGGAGATCTTGGCTTTGTTGCCCAGGATCTCAAGCCCGGGTGGAAACCGATCAACCTCCTCTTCTCCAGGAAATCAAATCTCCAACTACTCCAGTGGAAACGATCACTCATCCTCCATCACATATTCCTGCTAATAATGGAACATGCGTATGTATTGCGAAAGTCGATTCTATGCAGTGACTTCCTTCTACTTTAGGGTTTTGGATCATTTAGATGGATGCAGTTTCTCATAAAAAATCTCAAGTGAACAAAAATACCTACAGGGCGAAAGTGTTGTCAAAATCCATTTAAATTGATCGCCTGGCTTTCTGTTCGGTTATTCATGTTATTTGAGGCAAAGTCGAACTGAGCAAAGCCTTGTAGAGGCTCAAAAGAATTTGCTCTATTTGGAAGAAACTTCAACAAATTTCAGGTTTTTCAATGATGAAAACTGATTATAGTGTCTGGAATCTGTAAATAAATCTCTACCTATGATCCTCTGGCATGTAAAAATGTGTGTGTTAAACGACTCCAAATTGCAAACAAATGCTGCAGCTGCTAATTTGAACGAGCACTTTACCATGTTCTTACATGCCAGCCGAACATATTTGAGATTTGCTAAATGAATTATGTCACGTCGGCTTTAACATTCTAATTTCGGATTCCTGAGTAAACAACTTAGGGAAGCGAGCCGATCATTTGATATTTGAGGTAGGTGGAAATTGCGTTTTGCAGCGATCGGGTTGGAAATCGAGTAACATACATAAGTTGACGTAGAAAATAATAAATAAACCCGCATTCCGGGAATGTTCAGCCTGGAATCTTCACAAATTCGGAATTTTTTGAAATGGGGCCGCAAATCTGCAGTTGAATTTGCATGTTTTTCAGGAGGCGATTGTTACGTAATTCAACGTCTCTGCCGAAAAGTAGTGAGAATGTGAGCAGAATGCAATCAATAGTGTATCGACTGCTAAAAGAATCGTTACGTTCAGACATGAAATAAAATTAGATAACGGTATTGGATTAATTATGTCGTTAATCTGCCAGACGACTATTTTCTTCAAGTCGATTAAAATCTAAATTTAGCCGCATTGTTAGGGCGACAGTAATAAACCCCATTATGGCGATTCTGGAATGCGGACAGAAACGATCAGTAAACACGCCGATTAAGGGGAGAATATATTGGAATTGGTGCTGAGAATTCAGAGTAATTTTTCTGTTAGGTTTTGAGTTGTAAATGTCACCGAAAACTGTGTAATTGGATGTAGGTTGCCCAGTTGATAAGAAATCAATTTCAAATTACGACTAAAGAAAGGTAGTTTGGGCATTTTCTTCAAAAATTAAACACTCTGTATATTGAAAACGTTCCGGGTTTATTGTGTCGTAGTCATTTTCTATTTTAAATAATTTAAAATTAATTTGAATCTAGGTGAAATTTTCTATTGTTTACCTACAATGTGCATCTAGGGCATTTATACGAGGGACGCCCTCTAAATAATCTTCAAAAGATGACTTAAATTGCGAAATACTTCTTTTGAAGTGTGTGTGGTCGGTTAATGGATTAACAAACAAGCCTTAACATACTTTATAATTTTGTAGTTTTGGCACTCTAAGGTAAATAAATCGGTAAAGAAAGGTGCAGAAGTTTTAGGCTTAAGTGGGATTTTATTTTTAAAATTTAGGCCGAGCGCTTTTGGCTTGCGGCATCATCTGTGGTTAGCAGAATGTTCACACTGTTATTTTCGTAAAAAATACCCTTATGTATTGTTATTATTTGCCGTTAAGCAAGAGAATGACACTTAAAATACAAAAATACCTATTTAATATATGGAAATAGTCAAAAACGTCAGACCAATGATCCATATTTACGATAGTCGCATCAAAGATCACATGTTTCCAATTAATTTCTCGTATTTATTTTCCTACTTTTAGTGTTGCGTTTTTACTGATTTCCACAAATTAAAAAGTCCATATATTCCTGTCAACTCAAGTTTAAACAGCAGACGGCCGCACCTGCTAAAAGCGGATGTAAACACCATCAATGTCGCTTAAAATGTTATGACCTAATGACTTCGGTGTCAGTTTACTATCGAAATGTTTGACAAATATGTACATGGATTGAAGTGACTAGACCTTACAAGTTGGTTGTTTCCAACAGGGGCGGATCCAGCTTTCAAGTGTTAATTTCAAGACGTTTTAGATTTGCGTGCTGTTTTTTTCGAAGCTTCCTAGTCCCATTTGAGCATTTGAGTCACCGAATTCGTTTTGGAATCGTTGGATAGAGAATTGAAAAATTCGCTTCAGTCATGACAATATGAGTGAGACAATTCGAGTAGTTTTGACCCAGAAAGCGAAATTCCAATATCAGACACTTAGGTGCAAGATTATGCCAAAATTTCATGTTTTCCGTCCCGTTTTTGCTCATTTCTCGGAAGCAAAATGAGCAATAACGCTCATTTTTACATCATTCCAGAGAGAACTAACTGGCCTCTTTAGAAAGTGAACTATCGATAAGGAATTTTAATTAGCTTAGTAGTTAGCAATTCAAGTGATCCAACGGGCTTAAATCGGGAGACTGTGCCGGCCATACTATTCGACCGAACATTGTCTGGTTAGATAACAACGTTTTATATGATTTTCGTCACATTTACTCATCAACTTATCAATCTAAAAATAAAGCATTTTTCATCCAACATTTTTGTTAAAAGCGTCCCTGCAAAGCTCGAAATGGCCTTATTTATTTTAAAATCTGTACCACAAACAGTTGAATCGCATATCAGTTGCCTAAAATCATATCATATCGACTTCCTGTACGTTTTCATTTCCCGAATAAATACTCCCTTATAGGTCTGGGTAACTCAGTGAATATTTAGGAGTTGGCGCAGTGCTGCGCCAGCCCAACCCACCGACGCAGTAAGTCAGTTTCGTTACTGGGAAAATTTATTAATAATATTTTTAAAATATCTTCAAATTTCAGTATTTTTCAGTTTTAGCCAAGTTACTCTTTCTTCTAAATGCTCAATTTTCTAAAGTTTTACTTAAAAATGCTGACAATCTTAAGATATTTTCCGCGAAAAATGATGAACTAAATTTGGAATCCTTCGTCGCTTTGTAAAAAGTTTTGAAATCCTTTTCCAGCTTCGAATTTGGAACAAAAATCAAATGATTTTCTATCAAAAAATGAACAGAATAAGCGAAAGTTTATAACAGATTATTTGGAAATCTCGTCACCTCGCTTCTTCTGAAGACCGTAGAATTTGTTAAAAAATGTGTTTTTTTTTAGTTTTGGCTGCATTTTTTTTGCTTTACTTTCTACTCAAAAACGCTCTATTTTGTACAGTTTCACTTAAAAATACTGACGATCTGTAGGACTTTTACGCGAAAAATTACAAGATAAATTGAGTTTTGTGAAAATTTTACAAAAATTTTTTTCAGTGTCAAATTGGGGACAAAAACGAAAATAAATTCCTACCGTTTTTTTCCGAAAACCGTCAAGGTTTTCTCCAAAATCGATTACAAAACTAAAAGTTTTTAATTTTAATAATTTTTTTCTTTCTCGACAATAATGGGTGTTTTCAGTCAAAAATGACCAAATTAATTTTGCTAGAAAATTCGTCTCATTCATCGGTCCCTGCAGGAACTTCAGAAAATTCATTTCAGCATCGAATTTGGGACAAAAACCAAATAATTTTATTCAGTTTTTTACCGAAAGTAGTTAGGACTATCTTGAAAGAAAAACGGCCAGAGAGCAAAAGTTTACAAAAAAATATTGGGAAAATTCGCCTCCCTTATCGTTTTGAGGATTTCTAAAGTTCTTTTAAATTTCCAGGTCATTCTAGTTTTAGCAAAGTTTCGATAAACCAATTCTTTCTACGCAAAAATCGCATTATTTTTTAGTTTTATTGAAAATACTGGCAATCTGCAGGTATTTTCTGTGAAAAATTATAAGATTATAAGCAAAAATGTTTCGAAAACTTTTTGCAGCTTCGAATTATGGACAAAACCCTAATAGTTATTTCTAGGTTTTTTCCAAAAATATTTTCCCGAACTGAAAATGCGAAAGTGTATAATCATTTATTTGGAAAACCTTTGAAAACTGAAGTTTCTTCACTTTTAGGTCAATATTTCTAAACAACACTGTCTCTAAGCAGAAAAAAACGCGTCTTTCCTAACGTTTTACTGTAAAATACTGGGAAACTGAATCTTTTATGCAAAAAAATTAAGAGATTTACATGAAAACTCGACTCAGTTTTGTTGCTGGGAAAATCTAGATTACTTTTTTTAGTTGTTTGAACAAAGTAGTAATGGTCTCGTAAAGCTTTAACAAATGAATTATAACTCATTAACCGATGAGTTATAACTCATTAACTCAGATAGTGACACCAACTCAATAGCGTAACTCAACACAGTGTTACCCACGGCTAACTCACACATTTGAATCGCATTCAGTTGGCTAAAATCATATCATATCGACTTCCTGTACGTTTCCATTTTCCGAATAAATACTCCCTTGTCTATTACACATATAAAAAAAGGCGGAAATAAATGATTTTTCCATTTGGAAATGGAAGAAGCCCGGATAATTCCGTTATTGTGTTGCTAGGCGGGCTGCCATTCAAAAGGGCCTTTACGTGGTTTTGTTAATAAATACTGTAGATATTACGAACGGGAATTTAGGACAGACATGTGATAAATTGAATAACGTGAGCTTCGTGAAGAATACAAGACGCATTACTATTAGGGAATCCTAAAGGGTTCCACTTCAAACCCACTCTGGTTAAATTTTATAGCAAATTTCTTCTCTGACTTTTCGAAAGTGTTTTCTCTAATTAATAGTTGAACTTAATGGCATTCTGTATAATAGTTCGAAAATCTATTGTTATCCAGAACTTAAACTTCCTTGACCTGGATTCTTGCTAAGTTTCCATTTTATGTCCCCAGGCAATCGGGGCGTCATTGTTTTATAGCTGAAAGGTAATTACATTATGGAGTTTTTAGAAATGGGTTGTGTTTTATCCAATTTAGGGGCGAGGAAAAATTTCGACGCATCTACAGCAGGAAATTAAGGTCGCATGTCGGAGAGCAATGGGCGTCTGGATTAATTTTCTGCTGGAAATCGCACAACGTTTTTCGAATGCTAATTTTCCAGGATTGAGAGCGGAGCATTACATCACATGTTAGCACTGTTCAGTATTTATAGTCTTTTTAGTATTCATGTGTGGTTAAAATAGCAATTGTCTGTAAATCGGTTTTTTAATGCATAACTTCCGTAATAAAACGTTGTCTATATAATTATGGGCTAAAATTGATGCAAATCTTTGAAGACTCACGTAAATTTAACTTTTTTATGACCAAAGGTAAAAATTGCAGTCCTTCTCTTTGGCTTTAAATCTGTCTTGTCAGGATTTTCATTTAAGAAAAGATTTATTTTTCAATATTCAAGGTAAAAAATTGGACATTCTGCACGTAACTTTTGTCGCCTATGTAATTATTTTATTTGAATTAGGTTAGTTTAAAAGTCTTTTGAGCTTTAAACTTATTTATTACTATTTTATTAGCTTATTAGATTAAAAAAAAACTGTTTTTGAGTTCATTTGTAGTGACAAATCCATTTGCCATCCATGTGCCAAAGGAATTTATTTTGGTTTTTCTGATGTGAACTTTTTGGCACAAGAAACTATTTTTTGTGAACGCATTTGAAACTAAACATTTTGACCTATTTAATAAAAACATTGAAGGTTTTGAGGCTTTCAGACGCGCTTTACTTTTTAGATGCATATTGGGAAAATCGATTTTCCAGCAGTTTGTAAGCCAATTTGGTCTACTTCGAACTCCGAAAGGCTCGCCAGCTCGTCTTCAAATCGGATCTTTTTAAACGGAATCTTAATATTTTCACTGCTGCAAATTAATATCTATAAAGTAAACGTTTGTGAAAATTGCGCTTTTTTTTGTTTCTCTGAATGTGAGTATTTTCAAGGCATTAAAGAAACTTCAATTGTTTGGGGCCCCATTCAAAAACCTGTTGTTTTAGTATAATTACCGACCAAATAACTACTTGACAAATTGCAAAAAAAATCAACTTTATTTAGTTTCATTTACTCAAGCTCATCCGTGTGTTGTTCAAATAATACGCATCTTTCGTCTTGTCATTTCAAGAAAATCAATGCGAAAACATTTTTGAGAGTTGAACTCCCAAAGGCCTTTTAGTGGATTAGCCGCAATCTACAAAAACTTCTCCTACATCCAACAAACTCGATTAATCATCCAATCAATTTACTTCCGTTGTCGGCCGATTAGCTTTCAATTAATAAATAGCGATACTGACTCGATTATCCGCTCAAATTAGAGAACGGCTCGAGACTGAAACAAACCTCGATAAATAAAAGTTGGGATAACGCTTCCGGTTTCATGTAAATTATCCAGAGCGTCAGACAATGAAAAAACGAAGGCCGGAAAAATGAAAAATGGGGTAGTCATCTAGAATATGCGAACACGGACACCGACAAAAGTGTGGAATGTTTTTCATTCGGATGGCTGACAGGGAAGTGCAGTAGTTTAATGCAAAACAAAAAGCAAAGTTACTATAAATTTAAGGCGAAAAACTGTCTAAACATTAAGTGGAATAACTGGTCCAAACTGCCTTGCCAACCGACGATTTTTCAATTAAAAAGCTCTTAGTTCTAATTTAATTTAAATGGTCATTGTTACTGCATGCCCGTTGCAGTTTTAAGTGCACTTAATTTTCAAGCATTGTTACTGAGAGCCGGTTTGACTAATGGAAAAATCAAATAATAAGTTTATTGTTGTTCCATAGTTTTTTTAATTGGGTTTATTTGTTTTTGAGTCGTATTTGTTTCAAGTGATTTTTCCCCGATTGGGCCCTCGTCTGTTGTACTCCTTCACTAGCTTTTATCCTCCTTCCCTAGGATTTTGAAGGGCCCACATGACTTCATTTGGTGGTAAAGGCCTCAAATAATGTGCATCATATTCAAATAAATTGTGCAAAAAACGCACCAGTTTCAAGATTATTAACAAGTCATGTGCCGTGTATTTTTGTTATTAATTTCCTTAATAAAAATTTCTATTTGGACTTTAAATTGGTTATAACCATCTGCTTCTCTAAGCTGCTAACGAATAAACTGAATTTCTTGTTCTAAAGGCGAATAGTACAAAACCGGGAATGTTCACTGTGAAACATTCAGATGATTAACTATCGAGATTTAGTCTACCCCATCCAGTTAATTTACTATAGTAAGCTACATGGTTTAATTACTATGGATAAATTGTGCTTCGCTCGCCCAGTTTGAAACCGTTCTAACGGCATTCATTATAAACTTTCCCCATTTTTCAGATTGCCTGGATGCAATTCCAGCCCGCCAGGCTGTTTTAATAAAAATGAAACTGTCCGAACCTGTGGGCTTTTATTCAACAAAACATTTCCAGCCTGCTCCTGTTCGGAGCGTGTTATTTTTGGTGTAGGTTAGGCTGTTCGGTTTTGGGTCAACATTAATGTTAAATCGATATCTGCCATGTGTATGGCGGTATCTGGATAAAAATGCTTCACTTGCTTGTGGATGAGGTGGATTATTTCTAGGCATTTTGAGGCACAGTAACAGTAAAGTCGTTATTAAAATTGAGCTGTTTTTTTATTTACAGGAAAGGTTGCAACTCCAGCTGGATGAACAAGCACAAAGATACGAGGAGCAACTTACTGAACTGCATTCTGTGATAGCTGAGCTTACAAGAAAGCTACATCAGCAAAGAACGATGGCAATAACCGAGGAAGACGAAGTATCAGGTAAAATATTGCGTGGATGAGGATTTGGAAGGTTTGCACAAACATATGTTAAGAAAATTTATTTGTAGAAAGTATATTTTTTAGTTTACTCTGCAAGGTGACAATCTAGACTCAGTTTAATGATGAAGTTAATTGAAGACACCGGTTGAGGACATGAAAGAACAAATCAATGCGAAAATAGTGCGCTAATCCGTTTTTTGCGCTAGAACCAGTGTCGTGCCCAAAGGGCTCGGCACAACTTTGCAACAGACATTTTTCTCAATTTACTCTGCAAGGCGACACTCTAAACTCAGTTTAATGTTGAAGTGAGTTTAGAGTGGAAAAATCTAATTTCCACTATTTTAGGAACAATACTTGCAACTTACTTTATGAGCGATTAGTTGCAAAATTCAAAAGGAAATGCCAATTTGAAAACACATTTTAAAATGTCGCTGTTTTCTGCACAAAAAATTATCCCTTGAAGTAATTTACATTTTCCATTGTCCAATCGATCCAGCTTAAAAACATGAATGTCAAATTTGGATTTTTTCAAAAATTTTCAAATCTTTCAAACTGCTTCGAATTCTACATCATTTTCATCGCAAAGAAGCAAGGAATGCAGGGCGCTCCTCGGAAAACACCCTAGGAGCTTCAGATCCGAAATAGTTAACATTTTTGGCCCATTTTAAAAATCTTTAAATTCTTCGAATCCTACATCATTTTCATCACAAAGGAGCCAGAAATGCAGGGCGCCGGTCGGAAAACACGCTAGGTGCTTCCGATCCGAAATAGTTAAAATTTTTGGCCAATTTTAAGCGGTTTTTGATCGGTCACGATCTTTAACCGACGATATATTTCTTATATACGCAAACACCCTGTATATGCATATTGGGAAGTTTCTTGGGTTGAAAGCAATCGATTGAGCTCCAAAAACATACATGTGAAATTTATATTTTCGATGGAAAATTTCATAAGGGGTAAAGTTCGACCTTTTGAAAAATTTCAAATCTTTATAATTCTTCGATTCCTCTATAATTGTCATCGCAAAGGAGCAAGAAATACAGAGCACCGGTCGGAAAACACGCTAGGAGCTTCCGATCCGAAATAGTTAAAATTTTTGGCCCATTTCAAGCGGTTTTTGATCGGTCACGATCTTTAACCGACGATATATTTCTTATTATAGACGCAAACACCGTATGCATATTGGGGAGCATCTTAGGTTGAAAGCAATCGATTGAGCTTAAAAAACGTACATGTGAAATTTGCATTTTTGATCAAAAATTTCATAGAGCATGCTGGATTTTTTCGAAAAATTTCAAATCTTTCAAAATGCCTCGAAATCTACTTCATTTTGAATTTACATCACAAAGAAGCAGGGCACTCATTAAAAAGCACGCCAGCAGTTTCATATCCGGAACAATTAACATTTTTGGCCTATTTTAGACGGTTTTTGTTCGATCACGGATCACAAGAGACGATAATTTTATTATAAACTCAAACACTACTACACACCGGCACCTTTTGAGGCCAAATCTCACATGTAAAACTTGTAAAAATGTATTTCCACTATAATATCCTAAATTGTTAAATCCATTTCAGAGTCTTGCACCAGTGCACATGAAGAATCAATTACATGTCCCTTGGAAGTAAGCGAATTGGAACCTCTGGAAAACGACCTCTCAGATCTGGAGAATAAAATACCGGTACGTATTGTTGCGAGGTAAAGTTTCCATTTTATGCCTCTTTTCCATCGGAATGTTTTGTTTATTGAAATCTCGTCTGGTCGCAGACTCATAAACGGGGCATGATTAGGAAAGTTGGTGCCCGAATAACTTGGGTTTTGCCAACACGGTGACTGAAAATCAATTTGTGTGGATCGCGCCTCTGAATTCTCTTTCAATGCAATTTTTTTACTTGAATTCATCCATTATTGCGACTTTTCCACATGAATCAATGGTGTTTCAGTTGGTGGACAGTCCTTTATCGCTGCCGGAACCCAAGCTAATCTCCTCAAACCAAGGCAACTCAGATCCATCGCCATGTTCGGAAATTGTTGAACCACTAAAACAGGAAATCATGTCCCTGAAACATCAGCTGAACGACGCTCATACCCGCTTGGCCCAGATCACTTTAAGTCGAATAGAAGAGGCCACTTGTGATGAGGATACCGTGACAAATTGCAAATCGGTCTTCAATAAGAATATTTTGGATTGTATGGAACTGAAGGAGTATTATGATGAAAAGACTAACACGGGTAAAGCAGAGCACAAGATGTTGGAATCGCCAGAAAGCCACATTGAGGTGGATTGTGAGCCTCGCTCGTACCACGAAGATAAAGCCGACATCAAGTTCAGCAATATCGTTCCGATTCATAAAACGTGCCACTTGAAGAAAGAACCGTTTAATATTCCTGTTACGAAAGTGGCTGAACGGTGAGTGTCGACAGAATATGTTTGTTTTTCCACTGCTAAACGAATTCTGATGAAAACTTAGTCGCATTTCGGTTCCAGATGTAAGAAAACGTTCCAGGAGTGTATGTGAATATTTTTTTCATTTAACCCTGCCAGCAATTCTAATTTTTTTTTTACAAACTTCTTTTTGGGTATTTCGCCTCAAAAATTTTTGTCTTAAAAAAAGACAGAATTTCCTCACGTCTTTTATTACAGATTGATAAATTGTGCTCCTATTTCGCAATAAGAACGAATTATTTTTCAAAAAGTAATCAAGAACTATCACCTAGAGGGTATCCTGCGACACACTTAGGCTCAAGCTGTAAGAGAAAATTCCAATTAGTAGAGAAATTAATTTGAAAAATTA